TTCAGAACAATAACTAAATAATCATCCAATTTACATCACGTAAACCTTTTCTACTTAAAAACACAAATGCAGTATCAACTGAAAGTTTAGAATCTGCACTTTCGTTAGAACTTCTCGAGTGAAGAATTATTTTTGTAAAACTGCTATTATTGTTGATAACTGCTATTTATGCAGTTAATACTGTGCAACATACTATGTAACTTTGTAAAACAGCAGATAAAATATTTGTTAATGAATTTAGAGTTTTAAGCATCAGTGGTTCATGTAACCGAGGGGGGAAAAGTGTAAAATCAGAAATTGATGGAACTGACTGAGCTGTTGTTGGTACCTTCAAGGTACAGATTTAAAATGCAGAGAGTATGTTTGCTGACTGGTGCATAGCTGTCATTAAAACTTTGTTCTAATTTAATTTGCATTTAATTTGAACTAGACGGGGGGGTGCACTTTTGAGTGCACTTTTTGACTTGGAGTAAACTACTGTAAACTAGGAGAATTAAGACTAAACAATATTAACACCTCCCATCTATAGTAATGGCCCCATGAGATTAGTTATAATCTCTTAAAGTGATGAATGAAATGTAGAAATCAAATATCCTCTTACTCCAGATGTAGTCCACCTGCCAAGAAATATTTAGTGTCTAAAGTTTGCTTTAGCGTTGTACTGGAGCTACAAGCCACCAGTACACCCACTAATTAATACTATGCAAACTAAAAACCCAAATCAACCCTCAGGGCCTTCTAGGCTTTCACACAAATGTTTCCAAATAGGGCAAAATATTTCTGGGAAGTAAAAAAAAATACGTTTGTAATTTGTATTTTATTTTGTAGAATTACCAGGCTTTTAATATTTAAAATCTAAAACTATTGTAATCTTGCATCTCATTTGATTATTAAGTTTTAGTTTAAAATAGAAATGTTAACATTTCGAAGCATCCACTGAAAATTATCCACTCAGGATTTTTTCACCCCACAGTATCTAGGTAGATACAGCCCAACAAGCTTTTCCATTGGCTAGGCCTTCAGGAGTTGGACTAAAGGCCTTATATGTCCTAGTTAACCACCTGTATATCTAGGAAATAACAGAGAAATTAGCTAATCACATTTCGATTTTCAATGTGTGGGACTAATTTTAGGAGAGGAAAATCACTCCTGGCCTTCTGGACCTTCTAGATAGCCAAGCCTTAGTCTAACCAGGTTTCAGTCAGTTGTTAGAGGTGGAAAACAGCACTAGCTCTATGCCAGGACTCTTTAGTAAAAGGCTTTTACAAGCTTCAGATAAGTTATGTCCTTTTAGAACAGCCAACAAATGTTTATGCGCACCTCTCCTAGGGGTGGTAACAGAAATTAGCACTATCATAAAAGTACTTTTCTTCCTTGTTTTTGGCAGAGTTTTGACATTTATGACCCAAAATGAAGGCCTACCTCAAGTAGTCAATGTTCGCTACTGATAAATGTTCACACATTTGCCTCAAACCATGTTAAATTGTGAAGTAATCTCAAATAGACTTGCTGTTACTTATAAAATAGACAAAACTATGTTCCATAGCTAAAAACAGTAGAACCGGTCATCTTCAAACTTGAATTTTACCAATACTTTTGTCAAGTGCAAAAGTGAGGAAGCTAGTATGTCTTAGCTTGGCTTTGGCTGATTTAGGGTGAGGGAGAAATTATATATGTATGTGTGTGTGTGTGTGTGTGTGTGTGTGTGTGTGTATATGTATATATATATATATATATATATATATATATATATATATATATATATATACACACATTTTACCAGACTGTAGCTGTAATGCTTTTTTGAGGGGGAATTCTACCATTCTTTTCAAAAACCATAATTCAGATGTCAAGATATTAACAAAGTCATTCAGAGTGGTTTGATTTGAAATGCTTCTTTGTAGAGAAACTTACCAACTTGGACTTCTTAACAGCTGGTGAAAGGAACCAGGAGTTGCAATATTTATAGTGTAAATATATGATTTTATTCACACTGCATATATTTCTCTACCATGAATGTACCATGTATTCCTGTCAGAACTGCTGTGAACATTTCTAACTCGTCAAGTTTCTCTACAGCAGAGCATTTCACACCAAACCACTCAGGAGGATTTCAGCCTCAAGGATTGAACTATGCAGAAGTTTTGAAAAATCGGTGGACTTCTCCTTGAAGCATCTAGGACCACCCTAAGCTAATTGTGCAATAATTTATAAAACTTAAAACTGCTGAAAATTGTAAAATTGTCTCCTGAAATTTCTAGCTTGGCTAACAGTGAATGAGAACTAGTGAGGACAGGGTAGCATACATGCTGACTGGTCTCAGTTAGTTTTCATTCATTGTTAGAAGCTTTAGACATTTGTGGGTGGAGTTCAACTTTAACCTGTTCAGAGCACAGTTGGGTATTACTCATACATACAGATATTCAGAGAGATACACTCACCTACCGTGCTGTCTGGCAGCCTTTATCCTCTTTATTCAGAGAGAGAGAGAGAGATAGAGCAGCAAGTAAGCATCAGCCAGCCAGACTGCCTGCCTGCCTGAGAGAGGAAGACAGAGGCAGAGAAAGGAAGACACATGCTGAGAGAAAACCAGAGAGAGCACAGCAGACTCTGTGCCATCTGGAGAGCGGAGAGCCAATCACGCCAGCCCTGGCCATAAAGCACTGAGAGCGCCCTCTATGGGGCAGACCCAGTTAATGAGTATTCAGATACAAACATTTGGGGGCAAAAATATGAAAAATATAAAAGAAGAAGAAGAAAAAAAAACCCAGCACTGCAGCTGTGCCTGACATTTTAGACACACACAAAAATGCCACTATGTTGGTGTCACTGTTAGGCTAAGAATGTCCACCACCCAAATCATATCGGTGGTCTGACCATGCTCCCTTTTCATTAATAGATGGAGTACAGGGGGGCTAATAAACTCCTGCAACAGAAGGTCTAACCTTCAAAGTGCACCTACAGTTGTGTGTAAAATTTTGGGCACCCTGGTCAAATAATGTTTTTTAATTTAACATATATTGAGGGGAAAAACATAAAATATGGTATGTACAAAGGTTGTGGCACATTTATTATGTTCTAATAATTCCAATATGTCAAATGCAGATAAATAGACATTGTGCACTAAAATTTGCATAATTAAGTTTAACTGAATAGGATGTGTAAACCTACTTTCACATAGACAATATGTAATTTGACTGGGAGTCTAGCAGCAGTTTGGGTCTGTGTACTTTTCATTTTGCTCATTTTCTAATGAGCAGCACTGCTACCATGTTAATATTGAATGTAAGTGACTGTTTATACAGAATACAGGTCATAAAGCGCTGTCCACACTGATGAGCAGGAAGCGTCACGCTGTTGCCATGAAACAGACTTGTGTTTGACAGCAGAACATAATATAATTGAATGGAACATTGTCTCCCCGTCAGACGTTTGTTGTCTGAGAGTTGTATGATTAGTAAAGTAAGTCTCTTAGATTTTCCATTATGGAGAGGTTGAAATACTCTTGTGCAGTAAACTTTAACTGTTACTTTACCCAGATAGCAAACATATATCAGTCCGATGGCTCGATAAGGTTGGCACCCCACTGACTGTATACCACTGCTGGTCCACCCTCAATCCACCCAGGTTATTGTCCTGCCTACAAGGTCTAAGTAGTTTCTAATCTCCTCAGATTTTAAATGCACATAGTCTTTTTTATTTTGAAAAAATAAACTTGGACAAACAACACAAACAACTGAGAGAAAAAAGTTAATATAAAATGCTTTTGAAAATGTTGTCACTGACACCTTGCTAGATTAAAATGATTTACTAAACAAGTTTATAAAGGATAACTAAAGAGAGAAATTAAGGAAAAATACGTAAATTGAACTGTGAGTAGAAAAGCGATCAAAAGTGGCTTTTTCTCTAATACTCTGCTTAACCACCAGTGGGCCGCCCGGAAAACGCTAGTGGGCCGCTAGCTTTGCCGTCAGCGGGCCTACAGTGGCCCTCTGTTCCCTTGCTATCTGGGTACATGTGTACATTTAGGCCATTCGTCCACCTTACTGTCAAAAACAGGAACTGCTCTGAAAGGGGAATAAACAGAACTTACGGTTCTGGTTCTAATTAATTTTCCACCCACTTGAGAGACTGAAACCATCATGACAACCATGATGACAATTTAATTTACTTTTTGGTCATTTTGTATCATTCCAAAGCATCTGATCTGGCTAATTTGCCAACTTAGCTTGCTTACTAGTTGAACTTATTGGCAGACATGAAATGATATACTGCGCTGTTCTGCACACTCACAAAACCATTTGCATTTACTCAGAATCATGTCTGGAGTCAACCTAAGTTTATATTTTTCTCTGTTGGGTGTGGAAATACAAGCAAAAACACTCAATCTGTGAAGGATAGCATACATGCTAATAGCGTTAGCATTAGCTTCCTAGCTATCTCAGGTCACCTGAACTATTAACAAAGTAATAATTCTAGAAATAGCGATCAACACATCAACATACTGTTGTGGTTTACATTCTGGCGCTCTCACTGGTCATGTAATAGTGCCTGGTGAAATCACCTGGAACAGTACAGAATTCGCTAAATTGTCAACAGCTTCAGCTGCATGTGTTACCGAGGACAGGAGAGATTGTGCAGTGGAGAAACACCTTTAGAATCCCGTTGAAGGGTGATCATATGGATTATAGCGAGTTATGTGCCACTTATGCAGTTAGATTGGAAGAAATTGGACTTATAGAGTGAAATGAGCCAACACCGTGATATATGAAATCATTTTGGATGACCCTTCTGACAGTAATTCCTAATTACTCATTAGTGTTTCAAGTATAATTTCTCTGTAGAGAAGCAGATGGTAAAAATGATCATCCTGACTTTGACCTGGTAAACCAGTAATGAATCCCAGCAACTGGGAGCTCTCTGTGTTATTCTGCTGCCTGTATGTCTATACATTGTAACAATTATCCATTTAAACCTGTTCCTTCTGGTCTTCCTCACAGGTGACGCTTCATCACTGAACTGCGGGATGGGCAATATGATGGGCGGCGCAGGACAAATGTACCAGCAGCATCAGCTGCACCCAGCACTACAGGGCGTACATAGGGTCTCCCCATACCAGGGCCAGGGGCACCCCTACTCAGAAACGCCCTTTCCAGAAAATAACGCCCCCAACTCCAACATGACCTGTCTGTACCAGGACTACCAGGTGAGCTCCTTAACCAGAACTCTGAAACATTGCCTGTGTTGCCTGTGTAAGAGTGCTATCAGCTCTACCATCCATATCCTGTAAAGCCAGGCATACACTGTGCGATTCTAGAAATCTTGTTCTTTGGTGATGCTGTACGTTTGAATTGCCCACCGTGTACAGACAAAGCCTGCGATTTATATGCTCACATTATACGAAAACACTCGGTCCGACTGACATGACTCAACATGGGTGCTCACACTGCACGTGAAACGCAGCCCCTACAGACGCTCTGCCTACAATAAAGGTGTTTTATTCAAAACAACACGCTGCGCTTACGATGTCCTGATCAAAACACTGGCTGAATCTCAGATGGCCCCCTGCTCCATACATAGTGCACCACATATTAAAATAGTTGCTCCTGCACCCATAAAGTGCATCACATGTTGAATAAATAGCCTTCTGAGATTCAGCCATGTGTGCACAGTTCCATAGTGGACAAACAGTGCACTATTTTGGTGTAAAAGCCAGATTCAGCCATTGACAAACTGCTACAACAGCTTTAGTAACTTGTGCCGCCGAAGCTGAAGAGCAGCCGGTCTACAGGCAGCTCTACAAAGACAAAAAAACCCTGTTTTTATTTATACCTCGCAATTGAACTCAGTCAAATGGAGCAAAGTTGGCATATACGGACGCTGGTGCCGCAGATGTGGACTTTTTTGCCTCCATGTAGGAGCGGTGGTTGTGATTGTGTGTGGTTTTGGGTGCAACTTTGAGAAATCAGTTCGTGAGGCTGCTCACGCTGTGAGATGAGCGATCAAAATATCTGACATGTCAGAAATCCATCCGATCGTCCGACTGCTCAATCGGAGCTCCTTTGGGCAGTTAATCGGGCATCGTTTCCCCTCTCACACTGCAAGGCGATGGCCAATGAAGCTGAAATTCGGCACGAACATGAAATTCAGTCGGCTCTGACCAAATCAGGCTGAAAAATGGGCTAAAATCATACAGTGTACGTCTGGCTTAAGACATTAAAGGAGAAAGCAGATCAGCAGTCTGACTCTGAAGTTTGGTGCTCTTTTTGTCCCACTGTACAGCAGTTTTTGAATTAAAGGTATGTAGGGAAAGAGTCGGCCATGCTATGTTAATGTTAAAGGTTTAGAATGTAGTTTTAGAACCAAAGCTGCAAAACCAGACTTTTTTCATATATCGTAGCTGTGATGTCACATCTAGGACTGCAACAACGAATCAACTTCATTGATAATGCCGGTAATAAAAAATGTTGCCAACTAATCTTGCTATCAGTTAACTGCCAAGAAAGAGGGAAAACACATATGATGAAGACTTCAGTGCAGGTTATGCGCGACTAAAAGGGAACACTTCAATTTAATATTAAAAAAAATGAGGCTATTGAAATTGGGCACATTCGACTTTATTCAATTTTATCCCAAATAAATTTGACGATAGATTCTGGGCCTGGGTCAGAAAAGGACTCTCAAATTATTACACATTTATTGAAAAGGGAACCTTAATGAGTTTTGATTCTTTGCAGACGAAACATGGTTTGGAACGAAGTGACTTACAGACGTCTCAAAGTCCGACACTACTTTAATCAAAATGCGGACAAAGCTTTAAAGACAAGTGAAGCAGGAATTTTGAAAGTATTTTTGTCGGCATGTAAATTGGAGGTGTATAATAAAGTTATTTTTAGACTGTATAAAGATTTTCTTCAGGCAGAATCTGAAAATACAATTTATGTTGAAGAGAAATAGGAAATGGAGGGGAATATGTTAATTACAGAAGATAAACAGCACAGAATTTGCCAACCACAAAGGAAATTAACCCGTTCAGCCATGTGGAGAGAATTTGCTTGGAAAAATACTTTGCGCTTTTTTAATCACACCGTTGCAAAAACAACATTTAGGTATTGACACAGGATGCTGGAGACACTGAGGGGAAAATGATGCTGACCATTTTCATGTTTTTTGGGTTGTGGGGCTCTTGCTCCCTTTGGAAGGAGATATATAAAAATAGAAGCTTGTTTGGAAAGGATATTCCTCTCAAATGTGATGCTGTATATTTAGGTAACATTATTTCGAGGTGTCTCACAGCAAGGATAAGAAATTGGCTCTCCTACTTTTAGTAGCTAGTAAAAAGTCTATTACTAGAAAACATATGAATCCAGAGCCACCTACTGTGAATGAATGAATGGATGGATATAATAGATGATATTTACATAAAAGCTCTCCGCTTCCCTTAATATGCAAAAGGAATTGTTTTACCGTATATGGGCAAAATGGATTAGGTATGCAAAACCCATAAGGCCTTTTTTTTCCTTGCAGAACTGTACAATGTGTTAAGGTGTAATGTGCAGTTATGTTCTGCTGTAAATAGTTTTGTTCTAAAGCAGTATTTATTATTTTTTATTTCCAAAATACTGGAAAAGCTGTGTCATCGACTGGGCTTTGTGCACTGAGGATTTCATTGTATACTCATTTGTCTATACGTTAAGGTAGCATTGATGCAATTTTTTCAACTTATTTCTGTGAAACTAAACAGCTATTTTATAATAAATATATAAATGTGAAAAATCATCAAAAAACACTTTCTGGTAATATGTGTGAAACTGAGCTCACCTTTGTCAGCAGCATAACTGTCTCACGGGAGAATCTAGAGAAACACAGAATTCATGGCAGAAAATGACAAAAGCTCATTATGGCGAGTAACTGATAAAACCATAGTCAGAAGATAAAAACTGTGTCTCGGTTTTCTACAAGCTCTGTTTTGTTCTGGCAGCAACATAAACACACTTTTAGTACATAAAACCACATAAACATTAGAGGGAAAAATTAAAATAAGAAAAATTTAAAACATCCGCAATGCACCGTCCAGCAAATTACTTAAATCCTAATGACTTTAACCTTTGGTGACCCCACCTTTGTTCCAGGGTTGCATGCCTGACAGCACCCCTGTTTCTCATACACAGATGAGTTCTCAGCCTGGCATGACTTCGCTTCCTACCGAGACGGGAATGTTCCAGGACGGTCAGCAGGAGCTCCCGGGTCAGAGCGAGGTCACTATGGCAGGAGCCACGGGAAGTCAAGGGTCAGAGAGATTGCCGGGGGGCGGCGGTGCTGAAGCGGTAGATGCAATCTATCGGGCAGTGGTAGACGCTGCAAGCAAAGGCATGCAAGTGACCATCACCACGACGGTGAGCAGCAGCACGCAGGCCAGCCCCGTCCCTGCGCTCAGTGCCATGACCGCCTTCACCGCCTCCATTGGCGAGCCTCACAGCTTGCCGCATGCTGTCAACGCAGTCATCCATGGTCCCAGGGGGTCCGAGGGTCCGGAGGTGCTGACCAGACCCCCGCCGCCTCCATCGCGAGCCGGCCGAACCCGCAGGAGTTCTGAGCAGGGCAAGAGCACGCCGGAGAGCACGGAAACGCACGAGTACTTTCGCTCGCCCCGCCGGCAGTGGGAAGAGCCCGGTCACGCCCAGTGGAGGGGGGAAGAGTTTCTGGAATGTTCCACACAGGTGCGGAGCAGCCCATGTGGCGATGGGGGTGATCGAGCAGGTGCCATGGCAACAACCCCGCAGTCCCGTGACCCACCTGAGCCACAGGGTGACGATACTGGGAACTTCCGCTACAACCATTGCACCCGCACGCCGGTCAACTTCAAGGAGCGACTGGAGCAGACAGTGGAGCGCTGTGCCCATGTCAACGGTGGCCTGCCCCCTTCTGGCCGCGGCGGTGGCTACGGTGAACCGCTGACGGGGGACGACCAGTCACCAGGATCCTCCACTAGCCTAGAGGGACCGCTGCTGAAGGACTACGCTCACTTCAATGGGCACTTTAATGGGCACTGCGCACCGAGCCCCTCCGACACCAAGAGCCTGAGCAGTGAGGAGGAGCTGCGGCACCCGGACTCGCCCTCCGCCGACCTGCTGCCCTACCGGTCCAGAGGCTTCATGGGCGAGCTCGTTTGGCCAATCAAAGGCTTCCCTCCCTGGCCCAACAAACTGGTGGGGGAGGAGCACGGGCACAATCCCAGCATGCAGCTGTCTGACCAGGCCAAGGTGAGATGAACAGAGTGGCTCATCTGGAACTCCATGTAGGGAAGCTAATGATGAAATAAATTAGTGTGATCTGGTTTGCGTAGTGCAGCTGGCCTTATACTCGCTTATATTACTGAGTTCTTTATTAGCATTGTTAGCATTATAGTTTGAAGTATTTCTGTCGAAGGAAGGTTAATTATGAAATAAGCTAGCATGATTTGCCTTTTGTAATTCTGTTAGCCACACAGCTTCATTCTTCACTAGTGTTATTAGCGTTATAGTTTGAAGTATTCTTTTCAAGCAATGCTAATCATGAAACATGAATTATATTGTTCCTACTTCATTAGCAATGCATTCTGTGCTAGTTAAATTTTTTTTGAGGAAAGCTAAGATAAGGTAACGTTATCCGGTTGTCGTAGTTCAGCTCGCTGTATGCTAGTTTTTATATCTCCATTCTTTATTAGCATTGTTAGAAGTCTAGTTTGAGGTACTCCTTTCAAGAAATGTTAGCATGAGCTGGCTAGCATAGTGCAGCTGGCCTTATTCTAGCTTATCATCGCAGCCATATCAGAACCATCTTTATATTTCTACATTATTTGAGCACAACAGCTGCCCTTTACAATGGCAGTTTATGACCAATAAACCAGTAGAAATGGTTCAAAATTACTTGGAATATATTTGGTTTACAGTAATGCTTTAATTTAACTTTTCTCCTGTAAAATAAAAAAAAAAAATGAAGCGGCAGTTTTTTTGTTGTTTCGGCAGTGATGATGTTATAATGCTTTGTTCTTTATTAACATTGTTAGCTGTCTATTATGAAGTATAATACCGAGTATAAACTATAAGAACACTAAGTATTCTCTCAGATTATGAATTTACACTGCTTCATTTTTTATTAGCATTATTAGAATTCTAGCTTGAAGTATACCTTTCAAGGAAGGCTAATAATGGAGTTACCGTGATCTGGTTTGCACAGTATTGCTGACCTTATATGAGGTTCTGCTTAGTCATTCTTTATTAGCATTGTTAGAGCACTTTCATTATGAAGGATTCCCTTCAGGCTCGTGGCCTGTAATCTAGAGAAATTGAGGGCAGGTGTCATGCACTTTTTAAGGTAAATATACACAAAGCAAAGCTGGTATATTTTGCCTGTACGTTGCACATGGCAAGTTGGTTACACTCACTGTCATTATTTCATATGTATTATACCAGGGGTTCCCAATCGCCTGGGGACTCCATGCCCCTCAAATTTTAGCGTAATCATTACTTTACACTCCTGACCCAGCTGACGAGGAGCTTGTTAATTGGTCAATGAGTTGAGTCAGATGTGCTAGAACAGAAAAAAAAGCACAAAATCATGCATATTTTATAGTTGCTTTACTTTTTGCACATTTTATAGTTTTGTTTTAATGCTTTTATAATCTGTTCCATCTTCAAAGAAAAAGCATGTGACGCCTCACCTGATCTGTTGGTTTTGGATTTTTCTTTTCTCAATTTATTGTTTAATTATTAGTTGCCTTATTAATGTAACGAATTATTATAATGGGTAAATGCTCTATGACAATACTACCTGTATGGAATTTAAAATGACTTCATAGGATTGGGGATATTATTGCACGATAATGGGATTGAGATTCTGGGGGAAAAAAATGATAAAATGTAACTCGGAAAACATTTTGTCACTTAGGTGGAGCCTGAGAAGCTGAAAACACTAACACAGGACCTGGAGGCGCTGGACAGAGCCGCCAAAAGGAACAGAATGTAAGCATCTCTTTGGTGTGTCTGCATAGAAATAGTCAGAGTTCTCTTTATTATGACCAAGTCTGCCGTAAACAAAACCCTTGAAGTTAACTTAAATGGCTGGCAAACAGCTCAGACCAAACCTGCAGTGAAGCCAGTTCTTGGCCTACGTTCCAAGCTCTAAATATTGCTGCTCATTTGCGAGAGAAAGATTTCTGTGGACTATAGCTCAGTGAGAGTTTGGATTAGGGGCCATCTGCTGGTGGAGAACAGAACTACAACAGCTCAGTGGCCTGCAGATTCACTTCCAACACCCAGCATGAAATCAGTCTTGTTTCGGCAGGTTTGCCTCTGCTTGATGCGCCAGTCTTTTTTGCAGCTTGGCGGGTGAATGTTAAGTTTGTATCTCTTTTCTCTCACAGAGCTGGGAAGTTGAATAATCATTTAGAAGCTGCTATCCAGGAAGCCATGAGTGAGCTGGACAAGATGTCAGGCACTGTGAGTAACTTAAATGCTCCATCATATTCGCCAAGCTGCGAATTCTGATCATCTTTGTATTTTTATATATAAATATAATAAATATGCAATAAATATACCTTTTAGGCATTGTTTTCCTTTTATTGTTTAATCATGAAAACACTACGCACTATTATTAAAACATTTTTATGGCATTTTGTCATAAAAATTCTAGCATAAATCCAACTAAGTAAACATTATCACAAGTACAAACAAAATAGACATACTTAGATACTCTAGTAAGATTGTACAGGAAATTTATGTTTCTGTGGTAAGACATGTTGATGTGCCAAGTGAAGATGAGCTAAGCACTCAAAGTTAACTTTTGGAAAATACATTTAGACACCAGTGGATGAGATTTGACTAAATGTTGAAATGAATATATTTCTGTTTTGACATTTTTATGATTACAATTCAAGAGAAATTGTGTTATAGAGTTTATCTAAAAATCTGAAAAATGAAGATAGGACAGTCGTCTCTTTTGTATTTAAGATATTTGACAGTTTGAAACTGAGAACTGACAAGTGACAGTCATATCGGTAATTGAAGCACTTTTGAAACCACTGGAATTTGTTCACCTTTCAACTGTTATAAGGCAGGACAAGTTTAGAAATGAATCAATCCCCCCAGCTGAAAGGGGGTCTGAACGCATTATGCTGCATAAAACATTTGTAATGTTTGGAACCTGAAAACTAAGCACTGTTGTGCACTCTTGACATTAAAATACGATGAATATCAGAAACTGTTATGCTTTCCAGGTATTTTGACTTATTTGTTTAAAAATACATGTTGCTTGGTGTATCACAGTCAGGAGGTCAGTCAAGTTGGCATTTTTAAGACCATTTAAAACCAATCATTATAAATGGATGTCATTCTAAAAATACTGCCCATCATTTGTGTCATATCTGCTAAAAGGCCTATTCTGGGTCAGATCTCCATATTGAGTGCTTGGACCCCGCTGGTTGCCACTTGCAGCCGCGTTTGATGACTGTTCCTGAGCATCTCCTAGATTTTTTTCCATAGAAATCAGTGTGTTAGAAAATACAGGATGGATTTTATATGAAAACTAATTTGTAGCTGCTCTTCTTGGTTGCAGTGAGTTATGTTATGCATTTTGCATCTTCTGATCAAAAGTTATTGAAGAAACCTGAATATGCAAGTATGAAACCAACTGTACTACTTAGTTTTAACTACTAACATCAGTGATAGCTCATTTTACCATTAAGTTAATCTGGCAAGTTAACGTTACTGTAGCTGAAGTCAGGTACATTTCATGTAGCAAGAAACAAGATTAAAATTAAAATTTAAAAATTGTAAAAAGTTTTCAGATTTACACAATGTTTAATTAGTGTTTATCATTCAAAACAGAATTTTGTAGAAGGATGAGCGTGTGCACATATGCATATAAAATTCTATCAGTTCAAATCTGCTTCTGTGACAGTTTTCATAAAGATCAGGCCCTCATTTTTATGTGTTTTTATTATTTTTTTTTTTTCCCAGGTACATCCGATGTCCTCGAGAGAGCGAGAACGGCAGGTGAAGCTGCCCAAACCCAAGAGGAGGAAAATCTCCAGATAACAGAGAGAGAAACCAGTGACCAGAGCAGTATCCAGCCTCAGAGCTACTCAAACACACACGCATCCTCTCTCGTTCTCTCTCTCTCTGTTCAACTCCGACCTGGTGCTATGCTCTAGCAGACGGCTCGTCAAGGCCCCGCCCTCACAAAGTGACTGACAGGTGCTGGATAAGCCAATCAGAAATGGTGGCGATTTGACTACAACTCACTGAAGAACTATTTTTTTCTAGAATACAAAGAAAATAACAAAAAAAGAAGAAAAAAATACTGCATTTAAAGAATAGACAGTCCAAATATTTCTGATACATTTTCAATGTGTATATAGACAATACAGAAATTTCATGGTGAAATCTTGGGAAGAAAATGTAAATATTGTACGATAATGCCATGTACAAGCAGACTCAATGCATACTTTATCTTCAGTTGTACAAAAAAAAAAAACGACAACAAATCAAAGCAGAAAACATCTACCAGTGTGTTGGTTTCTATTCAGTTCTTGGCCCATAAGGCCACGTGTGAATAGGATGAATAAGAAGAGTCAGTCAGATACTTTTATGTGCTTCTGTTGGAGTGTGTGCGTGTTTTTGTTTGTGCGTGTGTGTGTGTGTGTGTGTAGCTGCGACGGGTAGGCATGGAGTTGAAACCCTGATCAATGTCATCCGCTCACACCATGGCAGTAAGTGTGCGTGTGAGAGAACAGACGTTTGCAGCTCTGTGTGTGTCGAAGAGTGGACTTCACCAACCGAAAAGGGGCATGAAACACCGCAGGTCTGACTTCTCTGGTTGTGGTCTTCCTCCACTGAACACTACCAGTCCACATGTGGCTGATATCCATTTCTCATCTTTTATCATATTCATATTCAGTGCTGGAGGATTTTATAGTCTTCTGATGTTGCTTTATTTCTAGTGATTTGTGAGATTTGTAACTGGCCGCTAATCTAATTTGACTGTCCGAGCTCCGGCCACAGATGTGTTCTTTCGTAGCTACTGTTGCAGTCCAATTCAAATGCAGTTCAAACCTAATGAGAAGTTGCCATACTCAGTTTCATTTTTGTGCAAATCTGGAAATTCAGAGCATGTTTAAGGGCCAATATCTTGTAAAATTCCTCACTTTTTTGAAATGTGAGTTTAATGTAACATGTAAACCCTGTAGAGTTTCACTGTTCATTCACCAGCTCATATATAGAGAATAAGCTACAAAAAACAGCCTGTTTTTGAATTCATTGGTTTTGTAATGTCAACCAAACAAACACATTTAAATATATATGGCTATTCGGTCTACAGCATTTTAGCCCCACCGAATAATGCTGAAATTTTGGAATGTTTTAGCCTAATGTTTTGGACAACTTTTTGAATGAGGCACAATAGAGGACAGCCAATTAGAACAGAAATTATCTATATATGCCAGCCCAAAATTCAGTTAAAGAGAGGTTGGAAAATGATCATGTAAAAATTGAATAATGGGTCCTTTTGGAGCATAAAGCCCTGAAATGTCATAGGTGGACGTAAGGGTAGAAAATAAATAAATAGATAAATAAAAGAAAGAAAGTAAAATATAAGACAACTGTAGAATATGGGCCCTTTAATTCCAACTTATATATTTTTTTGTATGCGTATGAAAGGTCACACTTTAAGGATAGATTAGATGTAGTATTTTTGTGTCTTACGGTAATATTCGACTGATTTCTACATAATTAAATTATTAAAGATATAAACAGTCATGGAGTGGTTTGATGTGAGTCAGAATTGTTTACAGTGGTGGTGATAGGAACCAGATGTCTAAATCGTTTAATGCACAGAAAGTTCTTACACTAAATGGTTACAAATATGCTGCCTTGTGTCAGAAATTTTTTTTATGATAGCTTTTTGAAGGTTTTTCCTAAAACATATTTTTTCATCTATTAATGGCAGAGAGGTGCGTGCAGGGGAGTGTCAAAATAGTCCCCAGTGAAAACTTAGATTTACCACTACAGACATTACACATAAAAACTGACATATGTAGGTTCGTTGGTCATTTTGAATGGTAAATAAAATGGCTGTTTTTTCATTGTAGACAACGTGACCTCTGGTTCCTGTCACCACCACTGCAAAGAAATCACCCTTTAACATCAACCTCTGAATGACGTTTGCATCTCAATAATTGAATTATGCAGAAATTGTGCAGAATCAATGTAATACCCCTTTAATTGAGGCTACATTAACACAGTGTATTTGTTGTCATCTCCAGCTTAGACCCCTTTTACGCCTGGTCACTTCACGCATCTTGAGCATCAGAATTATATATCGGGATAGGACCAAGCCACATAAAAATGCAAATGTAAACGCATCCAATTGCTTAAACCACTTCAAGAGGTGGTCTGAGATGCAATGCAAATGCATCTGTCTCTCCATTCGACAACCAAAACCCCTCCCAGTACAGTCAAAAGTCCCCATGCAGTACCTCACTGGGCACGTGATCCACGTCTTCGAAGAACATAATCATGGTTTGGGACCGGATGAAATGAAATGCTTATTAGCATTTCTGCAGACAAAGAGGCTAAATGGATAAACGATTGCTAATTGGTTGCCGCGTGACGAGTGGATTTGCATATTCCATCCCACACAGCAGTCGGATTTCAGTCTGACTCACCTGAGACGCATTTGACTACCAAGTGTAAATGCATGTGGCTAAACTCTTATCAGGGTACAATCCAAATACTACTCCCATGAAGAGACCAGGTGTGAACGGGGTCTTAAGTTCGATTGGACACCATATCATGTGTGCAGCCTTACATAATGACTCTAAGCTCTGGCTTAACACTCTGTAAACTTTGGGACAGCTACGAAAAAATGCATTTGTGCGCAGAGACTGGCTTCAGTTATTCCATTGAATCATGGAATAGATGGACTCCCATGACCCAACCTCCAAATCCAATCCGTCTTCATTTCACTAAGGCACGTTTGACCCGAAACAGACTGACAGCGTCATCAAGGGAGAGAGAGAGGTTCAATTTGCAGTTAGGGGCCTTATATTTTCTTTTGTTATAAATTATTTATGTACAGTATTCTGTATTTATTTTAGCTGTTCAATTGTACTTGGCAATAATACAACCCTGAGCGAATGCTCGGTAAAGCCTTACATGTGTATGTATAAAGCCTATATCTTATATGTATCGCTCTTGTTCAAGAGATACAGCCTTGATATTCAGTATTATTCATTTAACAGATACCTATATTTTCTGCCCTGTTTATTTAATGTCTGTGGTGTTTTGTGGCACACGGCTTGTTGTTGTATAACACTGTTACGTCTTTCTGTTGCGCCGAGCGCGGAGTCGGAGGAGGAAACGGACAAACGGTCTGATGAAATACTGAAATCTTGTACAGACTCAGGGAGACCTGTCAGCCGTTCAGATTTCAGTTCTATGAGGAGAGGGCTATGATTTGTGGTTTAAGAGGTATACAGTTTTGATTTTGGTTTTTATGGCTGTTTTTTTTTATTTTTTTTATTTTTTTTTCCTTTCTTTTTTTCTATGTATGGAATATCACTGACTGCTGGTCGTAAATGTAAATGAGAGATTATTAGCCTAAAAGGCTAAAGAGGCCTGTAGGATTTACCTTTTTTACCCCTAAGTTAGCCTTTTTATACTGTAGGTTCAAATCTTAAGCTTAACTATTGAAAAGAAAGGTGTTGTTGTAATAGGGCAAGTTTGCCAACACTGTAGGGATGTGCAAGAATGAAGTGACTGACCTGAGAACTGTTAACACTACAGAGAACAGAAATCTCACTAAAAACACTAATAAGTATTTGTAGTCCTTGAAACAGGCTAACTAGGTTAGCTTATTAACTTTGACATAAGATTAGCCTAGCAAACTAATGACAAATTAGGCAGATTTAAGGAAAAGTTTAGTCAAAAAAATGCTAATGTTGCTAACTGTGAGGGAAAAGTGATTAGCAGCTAACATTGTCATGCTAATTCATGTCCACCAGCTTCCTTTCAGCGTTAGCGATATTAGCATGTTTTGTCAAGCTTTTCATGTATGAATACACATCATTTGTAAGTTGATAATGATGTGATACACGTATCACGAGGCCTACAGTAGACAATTTAGCGTTTGTTGCTGCTGATCAGTTGCAGTGATCAGCTGTCAGAGACTTTAATGCTAGCGTTTTGTTAGCCTCCTCATTTTATTGTATTCCGTTGCTCCCCATTTTGTTTCTGCCATTGTTTTATCTTTCTTTATAGGAAATTCACTACTAAAGTATTGAGTGCAATATAACAGAATATGGATCTGAAAAGCAGCCATGTTGTGTCATCTGAATGTCCTTTACGTTTTCCTCATGCAAATGTACACGAACGTCAAGCGAGTTGGAACCTTCTCAGTGTCTGTTGACGCAGTCTGTGGCACAGTTCAACGGTCAATGCCCTGCTTTTCCTCAGCCTAGTCCACTCTAACTTCTTTAAGACGCTTTGCTAACCGCTCCTGACCCTTAAGTCTGTCCTGCGCATGTCCCCGGTTTCTGGTGAAGTCCACTCTGCGCTCAGTGCCATGGCATGGAGCTCAGAACACACCCTGTTCAACTCCCCTACACTCTGACTCGCAATGTTTCAAGGTCAAAAACATTTTTCTTTTGTGTTCAGATGGTCAATGTTGTCCAGAACTTTCTGCTTATGTATGTTTGCTCATATCTTTCATTTCTGATTTTCTTGTGTTTTTTTTGTATCTTTCTTTCTTTCTTTTTGGGCCTCTTTGCTTGCTCTTTATCTGATTGGTATGACCAAGCTTTGCGTCGTCAGTATCAGAGGTTTTAATTTTTTCCCCCCAACATGTAACTAAGTATATATTTTCTCACCAATATATACTTTACGGCCATTGACTTTGTAAAGTATGTTGTGCACTTGATTTCATTCGTTTCAGATAGCTTTGATGCGGAGGTTAGGAATAGTTTGTTGAAGTCCATAATTTCTTATTGCTTTTTGTTTGTTTTGTTTTTTTGTTTTTGATTTGTTTGGTTTTTTTTGTAGATTTTTATGGGTTGTCCTGAACAGCAGTTTTGTAAATATTGTGAACATTACAGGTCATACTGTGATGTAACATTGAAATAATGTTGCACCGATGTTTCAATTAAAAACTGATCACTCATACTTGAAATTCTTGTTGATTTTTAAATGTTTTTTTTCCCTTAAAGTTTGTATCATTTTCATTTCTTTCAGGCATTTTTCTCAGTGTAGCAATGAGTAGGGATGGAATTAAAACACAGCAGAAATCCATCTGGGTCAAATCGAAATGTCACAAATTGATGTTCTCCTTGGACTGGAACCATGGACCCCAACAGATTTTGTCCATTAATACAGTCCGACGGTTCAGATGTTGGACACGTTGGACAAATTATGGCAGCATCATGTTTGATCAGAGCAGCGGGTCTTCTACAGTCTCATGTGGCTTTTTGTTTTTAGCAATCTGCTGAGCTACTGAATAAGAAGGCCTTTGCACTTACTCCAATATTATGGCCGAGATTGCGTTACTAATTCTTGCGCCTTTATATTTTGGTGATGTGATCAGGATGCTTTGTAACCAGAAGCTGCTTTAGCTTGTGATGGCTTCAAGGCCACATTTGCTAGCACTTTAAGACAGTTGATGCATTTAGTTTATTAGGACTCTCTTACCCTAAACAAGCTGCTGCTTGATGGACGTGAACACGTTAGATGACCATAAAGGTCCAAAAAGCAAATGTGAGGCTGTTTTTCACAGTCCTCAAAGATCCATAAGAACAGTTACATACATCTGATGGTTATTGTTCCGAGTAAAATCCAATTCAAGGTAGTTGAATTGGTTCTAGTTCTAAAATATGTGCTTAGGTATTTGGCTGTTTCAAATTTTATCCTTGGTATACTGGATAGTTAGAATAAGCAAGTGATTAATATTTAAGCGTAGCGAGTGATGGGGTAGTGAAATTGTAGGTAATCTTTGTTTGGGATGTACAATGTAGTGCAGGCCATCCCCACGGTCACGTTTTATTTATTAATAAAATGGTGACCACCTGGCACATGACAGGCCCCACTTTCAGAACCAGTGGCTTAAGCCATGCTTTACACTCCTACATATGGGAAAACACAGGGACTTTAGTGCCAGAGACCTGAAAAATGTAATGTGCTTCAGTACAAGGTAAATTTAACTGGACTGAATCAGATCGGCTCAGACCTGAATCAAATCTAATTGGATTATTTGTTTAACTGTATTGTTTTTATATTGTATCATAAGCCATGCATATAGGTTCACGTTGTATCATTTGAATGAGCAAGATGCACAACCCTATTAGTGATACATGGCAAATAGAAGGATTATTTTAATCCCATAGTGCTCTACAACTTCACTGATGTGATTAATCAAAGGAGGCCAGATGAGGTCATCCGTTGTATTTTCCAGCACTTGTATTCTATTAAATTCTGCCCTCTAGTGGTTCAGTTCTGCCAGAGACATACAAAAATGGTGCTGATAAGGAAATAAACAAAGATACACCGATCAGGCATAACATTACGACCACCTCCTTGTTTCTGAGCTCATTGTCCATTTTATCAGCTCCACTTACTATATAGGTGCACTTTGTAGTTCTACAGTTACAGACTGTAGTCCATCTGTTTCTCTCCATACTTTGTTAGCCCCCTTTTACCCTGTTCTTCAGTGGTCAGGACCCCCATGGACCCTCACAGAGCAGGTACTATTTGGGTGGTGGGTCATTCTCAGTACTGCAGTTTTTAAACACTTCAGTGTCACTGCTGGACTGAGAATAGTCCATAACCAAAAATATCCAGTCAATATTGTCCCACATGATGATGCTGCCCACAGGACACTATTGGCTGGATGTTTTTGGTTCTCAGTCCAGCAGTGATACTGAGGTGTTTAAAAACTCCAGCAGCACTGCTGTGTCTGATCCACTCAGACCAGCGCAACGCACACTAACACACCACCACCACCACAGTCAGTGTTACTGCAGTGCCGAGAATGATCCACCTCCCAAATAATACACGCTCTATGGTGGTCCTGTGGGGGTCCTGACCACTGAAGAACAGAGTGAAAGAGGGCTATCAAAGTATGCAGAGAAACAGGACTACAGTCTGTAAGTAGAGCTGATAAAATGGACAATGAGTGCACAAATGAGGAGATGTACTTAATGAAGTCGGTTAATGAAGAGGGTTATATGCTTCACTCCATATGGAGTGGACAGGCTGATGGAGTTGGGGGTTGGAAGGAGACTGGGGGCTTATATAGAACACGTCTGAAGTCTTTCAGAATGTGTCCAATAGCCAACGTTTGGAAAATATCTGATATTCCTTGTAGGGGTGGGTGATATGAAAAATATCACGATGCTTTAATACATTTTCACGATATGCATCACAATATATAGTTTGGAAGAGACAAAAAAAAGAGTGCCGCGTTTAAAAAATATCAAAAACTAAGAATGCAGTGATTTATATTCAGGCTGCACTGCACTAAATCCAATTAAACAGGATTAATTATGATCTCTTTGTAATGGAACATGCAGTTCTTCAGTGTATATAAAGGCACATTTTCATTGAGACCTACTTTCACAGAAAGCACAAGGATTTCTCATTTCTAAGTGCACAGGAACACGTTCAAAATTACTGGTTCATATTGCTTGGCAAGCTGTATCCCCCACCCCTAATTTATTTATTTATTTATTTATTTGTTTACTGGAAATCATTTCCCCCCCAGTTTCCACGCATCATAAATAACCAGGCTCAGCTGGCACATTAAGACATGCCCACACAAAAAAGAATGAAATCTTTCCAAATTTCCCAATTTTTTATGGTCCTCAGTTCATAATGCTAACTTCTTTTCCCCATAAGGGTCACATTCAAGTAAAGACTCAACCCACACTTAAAATCTAGGGGTGTGTATCTCTAAATGTGTGTCTCTTGTGCCCATCCGTGATGAAGGATAGATTCTAGAGCTGGTTTAAAGTGGCTAACCAGAGGCTGTGTCCAAAACCACATACTGATACTTTACCTGTATACTAATGAATACACTACTGATGGTGCTGTACTATTTTGGCCGCATCCAAAACCACATACTACCAAACTTAAAGGGGAACTTCGCTGATTTTTCAAAAACTCTATATAATTAAATGGTTGAGATGTAAACAATGTCATTCAGAGTGGTTTGCTGTGAAATGCTCCGTTCTAGATAAACTTGCCAAGTCAGAATTGTTCACAGTGGAGGTGATAGGAACCAGACGTCCACCTCTAAAGCCTCCCTCACAGAAAGTTATCACATGAAGTGGTTAGATATACGCTGCCTGATGTCTGACACATTGGGCCTCATTCACCAACCATTCTTAAGAAGCAATTTCTACTTAAAACCCACTTACGCAGTTTTCACAAAGATTCTGACACTCACCGGTGTTTTCTTATTGGGGATTTGTTCTTAGGTAAGAACAGAATCTGCGCAAAGGTGTGAACAGTTCTAGAACACGTCACAAATCTGACGTAGACTTTTTCTTAAGACCTTTCTCAAGAACAGGCCCATTGTTTTACAGTAATTTTGTGATAAAGTTTTGGCCTAAAATGTCCTGTTAATCCATTTATTTTAATCCATTCATGGTGGAGAGGTACATGCAGGGCATTGCATTTCAGATTTATGACTATTTTACCATCATCAACATTACAAAGTCCCATGAAGGCTCACTGGTAGATTTGGATAGTAAATATAATGGTTATATGTGTGTTGTAGACATGGAGACCCCTGGTTCCTATCACGACCCCTGTTAAGAAACCAGAGTCTGAAAGATTCTCTACAGTGAACCGTCTCACATCAAACCACTCTGAATGACTGGAGGACTAAATTGTTCAGAAATTTTGAATATTTGGTGGAATTCCCCTTTAACAGTGTGTCAGGATAGACCGCTATTAGTTCATTAGTATAGTCTACTATAATAGTGCACACAGCGTGGGGAATCGGACGCAGCCAGGGTTTTACTGACGGGCTGAACGGACCAATCCTGAGCAGCGTAGCACGTTTTAAACAAACCGGGCTGAGTGACTCGCAGCCGGGGGTTCAGTCAGGACTGTCCGCGCTGCACCGCCTGTGACGCCGACTCGTCTGTGATTATTTTAAAAGAACTATAAACTGTATTATTTGAGGAAAAGTCATCTTGCTTTGAGGCGGGGATGGCGGACGAGTGCGGAGTGAGGGTGGTGTGTCGGTTCAGGCCACTGAACGAATCCGAAATCAACAGAGGAGACAAGTACGTGCCCAAATTCAGAGGTGAAGACACCGTGGTGATCGCTGTGAGTCTCCTTTCTGTTTCTCTGAGGCTCAAACAAGGCTAATAAGACATACGGAGTGAGAAAGGTGGCCGCTGTTAGACCGTGTCAGAGGTTTTACCTGAAACACAAGAGGCCCCTCTGAGGAGCTTCTGCTGAAGATGTTCTCGGTCTAACCTGCAGATAAAATAAGGGCAGCTTACATGGCTGCCCCACGGGCAGGTACCCCGGCTCAAAGACTGACCTACCTGCAAAGACAGTATTCATTTTAGATGCTTGACTCTCACTGCTGACTCATGTGCTTAAAGGAGAACTCCACCTATTTCTCAAAATTCCTGCATAATTAAATGGTTAAGATGTAAACAGTCCGAGTGGTTTGGTGTGAAACGCTCCGTTCTAGAGAAAATTACCGAGTCAGAATTGTTCAAAGTGGTGGTGATGGGAACCAGACGTCTGAAGTGTTTAATACCTCTAAAAGCTCCCTCACAGAAAGTTATTACATATGTTGCTTATGAATGCTCAGCCTGATGTCTGAGACACTGTTTACAGTAGTTTTGTGATAAATGTTTTGGCCCAAAACGTATTTAGATCAATTTATTTCAGTCTAGTCATGGTGGAGGGATACATGATGGGTGTTTTGAGGCAAAATATAGTCCCCATAGACTTTTTTTTCAGATTTACCACTATTTTACTGTAATCAACATTTACATGTAAAATCTCAGACATGTAGGTTCTCTTGGTTTTCTATAGTAAATAAAATGGGGATATTTGTGTTGTAGACTTGGCGACCGCTGGTTCCTATCAGCACCATTGTAAAGGTAAAGAAATCAGAGTCTGCATGTTTCTCTACAGTGAACCATCCCACATCAAACCGCTCAGAATGACTTTGTTTACATCTCAAACACTGAATTATGCTGAAATTTTTTGAAAAATTGGTGGAAGTCCCCTTTAATTCTGGGAGGTTGGGGCGTTGCTACTCCTCCAGCCTTGTATTAAACAGCCCACGCACCCAAATAATGGTCAAAAAAGTGTGTGCAGATAAAATAACATTTATATCATTATAACCCACTTTGGTGAGGAAAGTGACTAAATGTGTTTTTCTGCTGCCCCTGTTATTCTCCCACACTCTGCCTTGTACGGTGTCACTTTGCGTTGCCTGTGCAGTTTCACTAGTTCACTAAGCTGGGGTTCACTAGTCTGTGCCAATAAGGATATTATTTCAGCTTTTCATGCTTAAACATCATCTTTTGATAAATGCACGCTGTTCTGGGCTGCAGTTACCTTAAAATGAATTTGGACCAAATTTTTGCTGAGCCATTTAACCCAATATGGTTACAAGAGCTGGACTTACATTTGGCTAATCAGACCTGCCGTCATTCTGTCCTTCTCTTCACCACTGTCTTGTTTATCAGTCTGAAGAGGAGGCAAATCATTGGCTTAGCAACAGAGAAAAGTAAGTCTGTGTCAAAATAGACAGCAGCTGCAGCCACTGCTTCTCAAACCAGGACATTATTTTTAAAATACTGGGATCCAACCTGAAAAATTAAATAATTAAAAATTAGTTTTCTTCTTTTGGATACACAAATAATGAATAAATGATTAGAAGTAAGCCTGAATAATTCAATTCATCTAATTTTTTTTTCCTTCATCTTCTTTTTTTTTATAACGTGTGTACAGTGTGTGTGTGTGTGTGTGTGTGTGTGTGTGTGTGTGTGTGTGTGTGTGTGTGTGTGTGTAAAATCACTGCTGCATACACACACACAATTTTAAATACCTCTTTTTTTTATTATTTAATATATATTTCAGTGCTGTTGGAAAAAAAACTCATATCTCCAAAATGGTAACTTTACAGGAGCAGTAAAAAACCTATTTTACTTTTAATGTAAGTCATTGGAGCCAGATGTTTTTCCAAGTCGTTTTGGGCCGTTTCTGTTGGTTTATTCACCATGAAATTTAAACAGAATTTGTATTTATTTATTTTAAATTTTATTATTTATTTATTTATTTATTTAAATTAAAATATATTTAGGCCCAAATTTTTTTTTTTTTGGAACTTTGAGCATTTCAGTATAGTTCTGTTTTGTTGCCATAGGTTTCAAAACAAGGAACAGTCTGCGCCTTTATTGTGGTTTTGGAGTGAATTAGTAATATATTTGCAGATCTTCTAGTCTGTATTGTTTTGCTGTACTGCTTGCCCCAAATCCCTGGCCACTCCGCAATAAATCTTAGCTCATAAACCGTGCTGTCCAGGCCCGGTTATATCCTGGAGCTGATATCTGAGTTCCAGGTCCTCTGGATTTACAGGACTGTCATTTATTCGGTTGGTTGGCCGTGTGAGTGATGCGTTTGCTACAGTCCAATTTCCTGTGATTGTGTGTGTGTGTGTGTGTGTGTGTGTGTGTGTGTGTGTGTGTGTGTGTGTGTACAGTGTGTTGAACATCACTCATCAGTAAGATGGAAGGAGGCTGGAGGTTGGGTCAGGATCAGATGCTGCAGTATGCTGTAACAGTGCACTCTCATTAAGAACCAGAGGAGAAGTAATAAACAAATCACTAACTCAGCAGCTCCAGTGCTGTTCAGTCTGTTTCTTCCTCTTTATCTTGCTTTAGTTTGTCTTGGTCCCTTTTTCTTTCTTGCTTCTCTACTGTAAGTAAAACCATAAAAACTAGGGCGCACCTGATATCAGAATTCCCTCACCGATACTGAAAACTGAAATTTATACATATAGTTTTGATATAATTTGGAAATGCCTGTTACCCTTTACAGTGTGTGTAAATGTTATGATGAATGGACCAAAAAAGTGGCCCAAAATTACTTGGACAAAAAGTCTGGTTCCACTGACTTACATTAAAAGTAAAGTATGTTTTTTCCTTCTCCTGTAAAGTTACTGTTTTGGAGATACAAGATTTTGTTCCAACAGCAGCTATGTGTGTGTGTGTGTGTGTCTGTGTGTGTCTGTGTGTGTCTGTGTGTGTCTGTGTGTGTGTGTGTGTGTCTGTGTGTGTGTGTCTGTGTCTGTGTGTGTGTGTGTGTGTGTGTGTGTGTGTGCCAGCCAGTTTATTTGTATAGCACTTTTCATACACAACTTAAAAAATGAAAAGCATTAAATAATAAAGCTTATGATGTCATGAGATCTAGCACCTCAGAAAGGCATTTGTAGGGATAGTTACAAAAATTAACGTTAAAGTGCTAATGAGAAAAGACAATAACGTACAGTATAAAGCGAAATTACACCATTTTTTCAAAATTTCAATTTCTGCATAATTCAATAGTAATTCAATAATGCAGATTCAGAATTAAGAAAGAAAAACGTATTACGTGAAGTGGTTATTAATACACTGCCTGATGCTTAAGATATTGTTTTACAGAATTATGAAATGATGTTTTTTTTTATTTGTATTGTTTTTTCACATTCATTGTGGACATTCAGGATGTTGTGATGCAAAATAGTCCCCAAAAATTTTTTTTTCTGATTTACTAATGTTGTACCTTTTTTATTAACGTAAAAAGATTGGTTTTGGGTAGTAAATGAAATGGCTGTATTTGCGTTGTAGACATTGTAACCACTGGTTCCTATCAGCACCACTGTAAAGAAATCTGAGTCAGTCAGTTTCTCTATTACACATCAAGCCACTCTGTTTACAGTTTGCTTACATCTTAACAGTTGAATACAGACATTTTTAATAATCAATGTAATTCCCTTTTAAGCAGCTCTTTTTTTCCATCAAGTCTCTTTATATTGGGTGTTTTGCGTTTTATCCACATGCTAAAGGTTGAGTTCTGTTCATTTTTACCATTTTACCATGTTTCTGTGCGTTGCTGTATTAAACGTGCCGAATTGGTTTGTGCATGCTTAGATGTCCCTGTGAACTCAGAATACGAGTATAAAACTGTTAAAATCCTCAAAATGCCCTCATATTAGTGGGTCTGTTCATTAAAACGTAAAATGGAGAACTTTTAAATAGGAGTACTTTATTAGCAGTATTGTCACATGTACCGTTAAAGCTGATTCTGCATGATTTATAAATGTAAACAGTCATTCAGAGTGGTTTGATGCAGAATGGTTCATTGTAGAGAAACGTACTGGCTCAGATCTCTTTACAGTGGTGCTGATAGGAACCATGTCTACAACACAGACGTAGCCATTTTATTTACTATCCAAAACCACCAGAAAACCTACATGTCTTCAGAGGTTTTATATGTAATGCTGATGATGGTAAAATAGAGGTAAATCTGAAAGGAAAAAAAAAGTGGTGAATCTTTGTGGACTGTATTTTGCCTTAGAACACCCTTCATGTATCCCTCCACCATGAATAGATGGAAATAAACTGATTTGAAATACGTTTTAGGACAAAACCTTTTCACAAAACTACTGTAAACAGTGTCTCAGACATCAGGCTGAGCATTCATAAGCAACTCATGCAATAACTTTCTGTGAGGGAGCTTTTAGAGGTATTAAACACTTCAGATGTCTGGTTCCCATCACCACCTTCGTGAAGGATTCTGACCCTGTGAGTTTCTCTTGAACAGCCCATTTTACACCAAACCACTCTGACCATTTAGTTATGCGCACGACACAAATGTTTTTATTTACTGTCTAAAATGAGCAGTGAGAATGCATCGTTTTTAGATCGAATGTTGATGGTAAAATTGTGATAAATCTCAGAAATTAGTTTTCTTGGTGTAATATCTTCCCTCACAAACCTCATGTACTATAAGAAGATAAAAGAAAAAATGTTTTAGTCCAGGCGCAGTGGGTAGCGCTGTTGCCTCACAGCGAGAATGGCCTGGGTTCGATTCCCGGCCGAATGACCAGGGTCATTTCTGTGTGGAGTTTGCATGTTCTCCCCATGTCTGTATGGGTTTCCTCCGGGTACTCCGGTTTCCTCCCACAGTCCAAAAACATGCAGTCAAGCTGATTGGACACGCTAAATTTCCCCTAGGTGTAAATGTGTGTGTGATAGTGTATGTCTGTCTGTCTGCCCTGCGATGGACTGGCAACCTGTCCAGGGTGTATCCTGCCTTCTGCCCATTGACAGCCGGGATAGGCTCCAGCACCCCACCGCGACCCAGAAGGATAAGCGGTTTAGAGTATGTATGTATGTATGTATGTATGTATGTATGTATGTATGAGTCTTCTCCAAACAATCATAAAAACAATGTCCCAGAATTTAAGAAGCATATTCATAACCATTTTCTGTAATAATTTCCTATGAAGGCGAGTTGAAAGTATTAAATACTTGTTTAATGGTTCCCATCACCACCACCATCTGACTCAGTAAGTTTCTCTTTCACACCAAACCACTCAGAATGAGGCTTTTTTAAAATCTTTCACATTTATTTATGCAGATATTTTGCAGTGATTTTACTAATCAAATGATAAATCTGCTGTGTGTTCTATGCAGGGGAAGCCGTATGTGTTTGACCGAGTTATTCCACCCAACTCGACACAGGAGCAGGTGTATGAATCGTGTGCGAAAGACATCGTGAGAGGTAATGTCACCGCCACACACATCTCTCCATCCATAAAGTCACGAAGCTAATTGATTTGATGTAATGTTTAGATGTTCTGAGTGGCTACAATGGCACCATATTCACCTACGGCCAAACTTCATCAGGGAAAACGCACACCATGGAGGTGAGTGGTGTAACCAGTTGTGCACTTGTGTTCATGTGGGTCGATCGTCACCCACACTTTCTGTCTTCTAGGGAAAACTTCACGATCCTCAGCTTATGGGGATAATTCCTCGTATCGCTCATGACATTTTCGATCATATTTACTCCATCGAGGAGAACCTGGAGTTCCATATTAAGGTGAGTCTCCTTGACGGTTTATATGATGTCCAGCTTTTTTAGTGTTTGTGCACAGAAGAGTAAGATTCTTATCTTTTACAGGTTTCCTACTTTGAAATTTATCTGGAAAAAATCAGGGATTTGCTGGACGGTAAGAGTTTATTCACCATTAAAAAGGGGTTCTTTAGTGAAGGTAACAGTTCTATGTGCAGCCAAGACCTCTCAATGATCTTATTGAATACTCGAAAAGTTTCTTGCATGATCAAAATGTTCTTTTCTATAATGAAAATGGAAGATCTGTTATTTGGCTCTTTAAAGGGCCCATATCCTACTTTTTGTGTGCTTTCTTTTGTTTTTTTATTTCATTTTTTTGTGTATTTAATTTCCTTTTCATTTGATTTTTATGTACCATATTTCATTTTAACCTGAAAATTGTCTGACTTCTCCTTATCCCTTAAAATTAAACCGGCTGTTTTTGTTAATCTGTCTTTAAGACTGACGCATATCTAATTGAGCTCTCCTATCTAAATAGCTGTCCTATATTGTCTCATTCAAAAAGTAATCCAGGCTGAAACTATCCTTATAACGTCAGCATTAATGGACAGGAATAAACAGCTGTAGGCCGAATAGGTGGAGATATGGAAATGTGTTGGTTTCTGTGACATCACAAAACGGTGAATTCAAAACAGTTTCTATAAGTGGATAGTATGGACTGGGATTTCTACATAAAGTTTATCTATATGGATGGAATAGACTGGGAAGTGTAGCAATGTTTACGTATTACATCAAACTCATTTTATAATGGAAATTTTAGTTTTCTATGATATAGGCTCTTACATAACCTTTTGAAATGGTTCTGTTTAGCACCAAAAAGGGTTCCACTGTAGTTACAAATCAATACAATAGTACAGGGGCTATATAGAACCGTTTTTTTTCCTAAGATTTTTGTTATGTCAATCCTCAAACTCCCAACTTTGAGTTTTACAATGTTATCCTGTTGGTTTCAGTCTGGCAGTATCTTAGTTTGCTCTGACTGGGATGCCAGACTGATACAAGTTGATAATGGCTGTTCTCTTGGTAATATGGCTTGTATATGTAATTGTAATATATTGTATATGTATATGTAATTAATTGTTTGTGTGTTTGTAGTGTCAAAGACCAACCTGGCGGTGCATGAGGATAAAAATCGTGTTCCATATGTGAAGGTATTACAGAGGATTATCTCCCTGACCATTTGTTTATTTATATATTTATTTATGTGTTTGTTTATGTGTTTTGTTTATGTATTTATCCATAAAGGAATTGAATCAACTGTCTCTGAGACTGTTTTGTGTGTGTGTCTGTGTGTTAGGGTTGTACCGAGCGCTTCGTCTCCAGTCCAGAGGAGATGATGGATGTGATTGATGAAGGAAAATCAAACCGTCACGTGGCCGTAACCAGTGAGCACCTTTAATCCTTATATCCTGTGTCTTTATATCATGTCCTTACTATTTCACTGCACCTTTCCGAGGGTGAAGCTTTACTTCACTATAGTTTGTTTAGATTGCTGCTGTCTCTTTTTTCAGATAGTACTGATTCTGTATTATGTGTGTGTTTATACTGTGTATTGTTGTTTGCACCCATGTGTAAGATATGAATGAGCACAGCTCCCGCAGCCACAGCATCTTCCTCATCAACATCAAACAGGAGCATCTGGACACAGAGCACAAACTCACAGGCAAACTGTACCTGGTCGACCTGGCTGGCAGTGAAAAGGTGTGTGTGTGTGTGTGTGTGTGTGTGTTTGTGTTTATATAGAATATGTAATAAAATATACTAAAATAACTATAAAATATGATGTGTAGTACAAAAATAAGTAAGTAAAATCGCATAAATATTATGCCGGTGACAATGCAGTGGTGCATGTCATATCCGGTGAATGAACCGAGTGACTGTGCACTGTAAATGATAACTGGGTCATTCTACAGAGATGTAGGAGTCACTGGTGTTACTGATCGTCATTGGTGTTACACATAAGAAAGGTAACACCAGAGACATTTCTAATGAAAAATGCATTTTACAAAATGGCTGCTACAGAGCATCAAACCACATGTTGTCAATCATGGAATATCCACTAAAATATGGGGGGGGGGGGCAAAATGGACAAAATGTACTCAAAATATTTGAAAGGCACTGCTGAAAAAACAAGAACACTAGAGCTTTTGACTTGCATGTAAATTCAATTTTTTTGTTGTTGTTGTTGTTGTTGTTGTTCCCCCAACCCCCCCCTGCAGGTCAGTAAAACAGGAGCAGCCGGGGCGGTGCTGGACGAGGCTAAAAACATCAACAAGTCTCTGTCTGCCCTTGGCAACGTCATCTCTGCACTGGCAGAGGGCACTGTAAGAGACTTCATTTACTTTACATTTACAGCATTTAGCAGATGCTCTTATCCAGAACGACTTACAAAAGGGCTTTGCAGTCCACTCAGTGAAAGTATATTTGCTATCTCTGCAAGCCAGTCCTGAGCTCAGATACTGCTAGAAACAAAAGCCCACATTGATACCCAGAGATAAAGGAACAGAGTTAAACACAGCGCAGTGCAATACATTTCAGTACAATAAATTTGCAGTACAATAAATACTTAGTGCTCACTAAAGTGCTGTAAACAGAGATGTGTCTTCAGTCTGCGTTTGAAGACCGTGAGAGACTCTGCTGTTCAGACAGCCAGTGGGAATTCGTTCCACCACCTGGACAGGACAGAGAAAAGAGGCTTGTGTTCCACGCGTCTTGAAGGATGGCGGGTCAAGCCGAGCTGTGCTTGAGGCTTGAAGGGATCGAGGTACAGATCGAGTTTTGACCATTGCCATTAGGTATGGAGGGGCTAGTCCATTTTTGGCTCTGTAGGCATCAGGGTTTTAAATCTGATGCGTGCAGCTATAGGAAGCCAGTGAAGGGAGCGCAGCAGTGGGGTGACGTGGCTGGACTTAGGAAGACTGAAGACGAGCCGTGCTGCTGCATTCTGGATGAGTTGCAGAGGCTTGATGGCCGCATAGAAAGACCAGCCAAGAGCGCGTTGCAGTAGTCAAGCCTTGAGATGACAAGGCTTTCTCTTTCTCTCTTGCGCGCTCTCTCTCTCTCTCTCTCTCGTTCTCTCTCTCATTCTCTCTCGCTCTCTCTCGCTCTCTGTCTGCCCACAATTCCCATATCGGTATTCCTTAATCATAAGGTAGAGCTGGGCAATATATTTATCATTACTGGGATAAATTATGTCATAGTTTGCTTTTTTTGAGCTTATCATTGATATCATCGGTACTTAAAACGCGCTTGCAAACTGCATGTTAGTTACAAAGAGAGCAAAATTGGCCCTTATTACTGGACTAAGTGCAGCACAGTATGTAAAATGTTAAAATCATTGGATACATATTTTTTGATGATATTAAAAGTGACACTAATTGTTCCAACTATCAGGAAATAAATGGTGTGTGTGTGTGTGTGTGTGTGTGTGTGTGTGTGTGTGTGTGTGTGTGTGTGTGTGTTTTATAGAAGACTCACGTGCCGTATCGTGACAGTAAGATGACTCGGATTCTGCAGGATTCTCTGGGTGGAAACTGCAGGACCACAATCATCATCTGCTGCTCTCCATCTGTCTTTAACGAGGCCGAGACCAAATCCACACTGCTGTTCGGACAGAGGTCTCAGACACACACACACTTACAGAGAGTACTGTCGAAAATAAACCTGCGGTTCTGATAAACTTGTCAGGTGTGATGAATTTGATCCGTTGTTCGTAAAGGTAATGTGTGTTTCTCCTGCAGAGCTAAGAGCATCAAGAACACAGTGTGTGTGAATGTGGAGCTGACGGCAGAGGAGTGGAAGAAGAAATATGAGAAGGAGAAACAGAAAAGAGAGAGTCTGAAAGGCGTCATAGAGAAACTGCAGACAGAGCTCAACCAGTGGAGGAACGGTGCGAGAGCAAGAGAGGTTACATGATAGAGGGAGTGAAATTAACCTGAAATCAAAATCAACATTTTATACTTTCTTTTATGTCCTTAGTCATACAAAAGGGCAATTCCACCAAATTATCAAAATGTCTGCATAATTCAGTCAGTGAGATTTTAACAAAGTCATTCAAAGTGGTTTGATGTAAAATGGTTCATTGCAGAGAAACCAACTCTGATTTCTTTACAGTGATTATGGCAACCAGGAGTCACGATGTCTGCAAAGCAAGCATGGTTTACTACATTATTTACTTTATTTACTGTCCAGAATGACCAGTGAATTTACACGTGTCTTCTGAGTTTTTATATGTAGTGTTAATATTGTAAAAATGGTGGTAAATGTGAAAAAATGCATTAATTCATAACTTTTATGCCTTATAACACCCTGCATGTCCCTCTCCACCCACTATCTTTGGACCAAAGTCTTCTTAAAACTATCATAAAATAGTGTCTCATGCATCAGGTAGAATAGTCATAACCATTTCATACAATGTTTTGTAGTAATGTAGCTTTTAGAGGCATTAAACCCTTTTCAGACGTCTGGTTCCTATCACCACTATTGTGAACAATTCTGACTCGGTAAGTTTCTCTAGAACAGAGCGTTTCGCATCAAACCTCTCTGAATGACTTTGTTTACATTTGAATGATTAAATTTTGCAAACATTTTAATCAGTGGATTTCCCCTTTAAGCACAATTCATTGTGTAAAATTATTCAAAATATAATATTGTTGTTTCTCTATAATCTTATGGCCCGCCTCTAAACGCCTCTTGATTACATCACTGCCAGTAGATGGCGGGAAAAAAAATGATTAACCAATAATACGATGTTTCAGCCCACCACTCTAACCAGTCATTAACCAAAACACCAGTCATCACCTCCATACCCAGCCGCACGTACAGACACAAATAAATATGGCCTGGTACAAAATATTTCATACTTCTCTTCCTGCGCGTCCTGTACTACCAGGATTTTATCCCTTTCCTCCAATGCAGGTGCTGGAGGTGATGAAGAAGGTACAGGTTGGACAACTGTTAATTGTTCTTAGTCAACTAGTTATACAAAAAAGCAGTTAACTAGTCATTTTTACCATATTAAATTCTATATATATACACACACAAACATACATATTTAGAAATAACCTCTCTTAGAGAATTTAAAATGGCTTTGGCTGCTCGCTCTTCCATTCACTGGCTGTCAGTCTGGAACGATTGTTTAGCACGACAAATAGCAAGCAAATAGCAATAATTAAGCCTTTCTGTATCTATAGTTAGATATATTCATGCTTTTCCATTTAAATTGCTTTTCCATTTAAATTTAAATTGATTGCTGTGTTCTTTGTTATGGATATATCTGCTTAACATTTTGTGATGAGTCAGTTTGCACATCAATCAAATGGTCCTTTCCGATTAGAAATGGCGGTTCTGGACACCTACCCAGTTTGGCCTACGAGCTTGTATTTCAGTGCAGTTTTACACAGCTTACAGTTGAATTGATTTAATTTTGTCTAGTATTTCTATATTAATTAAGTATTTTTGCCTTTTTGTTTATCAGAAAAGTTATTTCTGTTCTCTCTGCTGCGTGTTCACTGCGGTTTTTACCGTCGCTGTATTTCAGGTACTGTCATCCACTAGTTGCCTAGTTGACTAGACTGTTGCCCACATTGCTGGCTAGTGGATTCATTAGCAACCCCTAGTAGGTGGGGAGTAGTCCTCCATGATTGACTAAGGACTAGCTTCTGGCTCGATGTTCTCTCAGAACACACACTCTTCACAATCCATTAAAATCCCGATTAGGGAAAAATCACCGGCCAAATATCCTGCTTCACGTCACGTTTAAGGAGGGAAAAAAGGTTTTGATTTCTGTTTTGTTGGCTTTTATGAAAGACAAAGAGAATTGTTTGGTTAGAAGCTTATCGTGTGTGTGTGTGTGTGTGTGTGTGTGTGTGCGTGCCAGGTGTTTGTGTACCTGTGCAGGAACAGTTGAGTGGTGAAGATCAGAAGGAGATGGGTGACAGTACACCAGTCATCAGCAGCACTCTACCCTCCATCACCACAGTTACTGCTGTGGAGAAGGATCAGCATGAGGAGAACCTCAGAAACCTGTACAAACAACTGGATGACAAGGTGTGTGCATGTGTATACATGTGCACCCGTGTTGGAGTGGTTACTCAAAAAAAAAGTAATCCATTACAAATTACTAATTACTAATTACTTTTTTCAAACTATAATATAGATAATTTAATAGAAAAGTAATCTCATTACTCATTACTTTACTTCTGTGTTACTCTCTAAAATACATTCAGATCTGTTCCAAATGAAAACCCGACAGCCCTATTAGTACTTTATTTAGAAAGAAAGCTAGGCACAGTAAACATCATTTCAGTGTCACCGCCTTTGAACAATACATAGTCACTTATGCTTTATTAAAATTCTGAACAATTGATGCTGTTTGAAAACATAGAAACTAGCCAGTCGAAACAAAACAACTGCTTTGAGAGTGAATTTTAAAAGAATAAAATGTAGAGTTAAATGAAAGTTGAGTCTCTTTAGGTGAGGTTGGACTCTCTCTTCTTCAGCGTGCATATTTTTGTTGTCAGTTTCATATTAGCATGATTAGATGCTGTAACAGAGGTTTGGCTAGAAGGTCATGCACAAAATTTCAGTTTCACTGTAAAGACCACAGAAGTGCGTTTCATCATAAGTGTTTTTCTGTTATTGTGCATGTGCGTGCGTGTGCATGTGTCACACATTTCACATCTAATATTGCACTCTTTAACGCATGTAAACAACTCTCAGTGAGAGCTAGCCAGGCTAATGTACAGCCTCCACACAGTGGAGGTAGTTTTAAGAGTGTTACAACTAAGCCTGCCAAAGTACGCAATAACAGAAGTCCATATCCCCCATATAATTTCATTAGTTCTTTTTTTCTTTTCTTTTTTTTTTTATCAGAAACATACTGTAGAAATGTGTACAGCTATGCTGATCACTCGTCATATTTATTTTAAAACATTTATGTATTTAGTTCTGAAAGTTTGTATTATTCAAACAACAAACTGTATGAGTTAACTGTATGTTCAGTTATTTAATGGCTCGTACATCTAGCCCCATGTCCATTACAGTTGACCCCCTGTCTGCAGGGGGTTAAATTTGGAATATGTATGGTGGTGTATGATGCTTGTTCTACAGTATTGCAGCGATTTTGATTTTTTTTTTTCTCCCCCAGTTAAGTCACTCATTCTTCTCTGTGTAGGATGATGAGATTAACATGCAGACTCAGCTGGCTGAGAAACTCAAGCAGCAAATGGAGGTGCAGGAAGAGGTGAGGGAATATGAAGGGTTTTGTTGCAAAAGGCATTAGATCATTTTCAAAAATGTTACTTTTTCGTGATATATGTTGTCAGCAGTGGGATTCATGCATAAGATTTAATATCAACTTTATTAGGGAAATATATACATATCATTAAACATCAGCTGCTTTTCTTTTAAAAAAAAAAAACTATTTCCAAAGTTTTTACAAATGGGTGTTACAGCATGTTGGAAGGAGACTCTTCATGTCCACACTGACTTTCAGTATTCCAACAAATACACAATACAAAGATGTACTATAAACCAAGGCTCTAAGCAGGTCAGTGTATAGCATATACAAAAGTGTATACATAAAAGTATGTAGTTACAAGTTTGTCAAAAATTTTGACACTTTGCTTTAAAAGCTTGACTGTAAATGGCTGAAATTTGTTTCTGTGATACATATAAATAGATGTTTATGTATGAAGGTATTTCTAAAACAACGTTTTTTAATTTGAAAAATAGTTTTTAAATGCTGCCTCTAAGTAGTTTATTAAGGGCTCCGTATATGTGGAATCTTCAGGTCTGCTGGAGAAGCATCCCTGATGGCTCCTCATGAACGTGCTTGAGAGAATGCAGAGAGTGTGTGCAAATCTGCCTCAAAACAAAGTGTCTTAAGTGTTTTAATCTTAAATAGAAGATCGCTCAACACTTTTTGGTTGCTGCAGAATTCCAAATGTGTTGTTTCTTATGTCCATATGTGAGTTTGGCTTTATCATTATTCTAAAATAGAGGGAAAGAGTTGGGAAAAAAAGGAAAAAGTCTTCTGTTAGTAGGTGTGTCCCAGTGTTGGACTGGTACTTTTTATATGTGAGCTAAACACTGACTAATAAAGTGTGTGTGTGTGTGTGTGTGTGTGTGTAGTTGTTAGCGTCATCGCAGCGGGACAGTGTGCGTTTGCAGGAGGAGCTGTGCTGTCTGCAGATGGATAATGAGGAGCTGAGGGGGGAGGTTAGGGAGGTGCTGTCTGCGCTGGAGGAGCTCGCACTCAACCACGACCAGAAGTGCCAGGAGGCATCCGCCTGCACACTCGCCAACCACACGCTCACCCAGCAGCTCACGCTGAAGAACGTGAGTGTATCCACACACACACACACACACACACACACACAAACACACACACACAGAGCCACAGACACACCAGATGAACACACTTGTCAAAACCCCCAAACTTACACACTCAGTACTTAAAGCAGTAACTCAGAAAAGGCTAATTTACAGTTTTCGTCTCGCCCTAAATGTAGTCAATCAGCCAAAACAGTATGTATGATGTACTGTTATCTGTAAACAATAGATAAAAGGATGGCTAAAATCTGAGCTCTAAGAGAGCTGCTACTTCTGTTTTTAGCTATGCAATGTAAGTTTGTCTATTTTTATAGATATCAATAGTTCATCATAAACCACATGCAAGCAACTTAATTCGAGATTACTTAACAACTTGAAATGATTTTCTTTGGCCTGCCATAATTGTTATTACATAATTGTCTGATCAGAGTTATTTGAGCTGATCACAGTTTAAGCTGATTGCAGTTATTTTCCACAGTTGTTAGCTTTCACAATCGTATGTTTACATTACAACTGAATTGGGTGCCATTTGAGATCATAGTTATTACAAAAACAAGTTATGACTTCTGACTGGTGCTGTAACACCTTTAGAGGGCAGCAGTGAGTAATATTTGTTTATTTGAGTTTGAAGTGTCATCAGTTGAAAGCTACTACGTATCGACAGCTAGCAAGCATGTAAGAAAAAGACAATGAAGTTCACAATCACAGTTATGTCTAAGGCAGTTAATTGTCAGCTAAAATGTCATGATTGTGAAAGGCCTAGTTTAAGAAAGGTTTTGATGATTTAGGAACTATAAATTGGTGGATATAAGCTTCAGTTATTTTAAGCACACTAGCTTGTAGCACCAGTGTAAAATGTAAGGCAGCAAACACGTCTTGGCTTGTCGATTACTCTGGGGCAGAGAGGGTTTTATTCATTTTTTTTTATTTATTTTTCACTAAACCATTCAAACCTTAAACAGTTCTTAAAGCTTTAATCATCCTTTTTTTTTTTGCTTACTTAACTTACAGAAATATACCAACTAACTGATTGACCGTGTATTCTAAGTCCATGTGTCTGCACCAGTTTTGAGTGTTTTGAAGCAAGATGTATTATTGCAATATAACTGCATGCCAAGTTCATGACATCTTATCTCTCAACAGTTTACTCAACATTTTTTTCTTTAATCACGTAGAAGCAAGTAAGCAAAATATCATTGCATGTTTGCATGCATACCATTTTTGTTTACCGGAGGTGTTTTTTTTTTTTTGGTTTTTTTTCTCCGCTGTTGCCCCGTTTTGAAAGTTCCCTGCCCCTGCATGTCACACAAAAGTCTTCGATAGGTTATTTTGCATGTCAGTCAGATGGCCTTTTCCGTTCAGAGTGGGTGGTACATACCAGACTCTCGGACAACCGGCAGAAATCTGGCTTCTGACTATCAGAGGCATAACTACCGGCAGTGATAGCAGGACAGTCTCCTGGATGGCTAAGATTAGTTAATGTGCCTTTACAGCACCAACTTGGTTAAGACGTTTATCAGTTTTAGCTAATTTCCATGAGGGGGTGCCCCTTTTCTTTTTTGCACTGGGGTCCCTAAGATCCTATTTACACCACTGGTAAGATGCTTTTTAACATCTTCCCTGGAAATATGCAATTGCAGTTTCACCATGCGGCCAACAGTGGGGAGCATTTTTGCGTGTGTGTGTGTGTGTGTGTGTGTGTGTGTGTGTGTGTGTGTGTGTGTGTGTTAGGAGCTTCTAGAGGCCGCTCAAAGGGACTTGGCAGAACAGCTGGAGGTCTGTGCTGTCCAGAGGAGGAGAGCAGTAGAGATTCTCGGTCTGCTGCTGAGAGACCTCAGCGATATGGGAGCCATCATGGGTACCAAGGATAT